CTAGGGCAGGGGCTGGCTAAATGTGGCTCTCTTGGTACATACATGTGGCTCTGAAGTAAAGTTGACATTTTTTTTCAAGGATATTATTCAGATAACAATCATTTCATTTGTTTATAGAAAATGTATTTATGGCTCTGGAATAATTTTTAATATCGTGTAAATTTGCAAAAGTTTGCAAGACCCCCTGCTTTAAGGGAATTGAAGCCAGTTGTTGTTTCCCCACTCTGGGAGACAGACCAGGCTTTCCACTGCTGTCACAGTTAGTCATGGCGTCCCACAGGGGAAGTTCCACCCTGGTGCTAAGAGTCTACGGCAGTTCGCTTGGTTGTGAACCTCTGTTGTTTCTTGGATGGCTGCTTATATGCTGACTTCAGGCGTTACTCATTAGGAGGGAGAGTAGAAATATTTAAGAACCAATTCGGCCAATTGACCCAAAGCCTCTGAACCCTAGACTTCCAGGCCCAGGGAAAGGGTTCCTGTAGGGTGTTTCTTTGTACTCCCACTTACACAGCTGGGAGGGGGAAAAATTTGGTGGTAAGGGCCTGCTTTTTTTTTCCCCAGTTATATATAATCCAAGCCCATCAGGACTCCTACCGAAGCCTCAGAACCTCCTGCCATCAAGGCAGTGTCAACTCACGGAACCGCGCCTACGATCTTCCGAGACTGTGACTCTTTACAAGAGTAGAAAGCCCCATCTTTCTCCTGAGAAGCAGCCGTTGGTTTTGAACTGGTGACCTTTCACTTAGCAGCCCAACTAGTAACCACTATGTTCTAACTCACAAACATAACCAAGACAAGCCACTCCCAAGTAGGATTAGCACCACAGGTGCAGGGTTTAAGAGTCCTGGTGGAGCAGTGGTGGCTAAGCACCCGGCTGCTCTTCAGACGGCCAGCGCTGTGAACCCAGCAACTGCTCCATCAGAGAAAGATGTGCCATCTGCATCCATCCAGAACCCAGAGGAGCAGTTCCACTCTGTCCTTTAGGGGCGCTGTGAGTCCAGATCCACATAGGGTTAGGATTGACCACACATATTTTGGGGGGGCAATTCAGTCCGTGTAACACCTCCCACGGGGTCAGCGCCACACACATCATCCCGATCCTGGGCAGCTCCGTTCTTCTTTTACCCTCTTCCATTTTGCCTTTTTTGGATCACCCTGACTTGGGGTCCAAAGCCTTGATTGATGGACAACCCCCCCACACACACTGGTGTATTGCGGCTTTCCGATGTTCAGCCCTTTCACATCCACTGTCCCTGAAGCCTGTGTTCTCAGTTCTGCTTTACCTGCAGGGTGAGGGACACGGGGTTTTTTCTGGGCTGTCGGTTCCCTTCAGGACATCCAGTCTTTTTATATTTATAGGTTCATCCAGCACTGTGAGTTAGATGGGGGGCTGCTAGCTGCAAGGTCAGCAGGTCACCAGCTGCTCATCGGGACAAAAGTGAGCCTGTCTGCTCCTGCCAAGGTTCACAGTCCCTGAAACCCAGCATTGTATAGCATTGTCTTAGGTCAAATCAACCCATTCGCTGTGGGGATGAGCCCTGGTGGCACAGTGGTTAAGTGCTCGGATGCTAGCAGAAAGGTTGGTTATTCGAGCCCTCCGGCCTCTCCTTGAGGGAAAGCTGTAGCACTCTGCTTCTGTAGGGAGTACAGTGTTGAAAAAAAACCCTATGGAATGGTTTGACCCTGTCCTACGTGGTCAACATGAGTAGGAACCTTTGTTGTTTATGTACTAGGTTTTTCAGAATCCGTTTGATGGCAGTGGGTTTGGGTTTTGGGTTTAGGCTTGGCTTTTCTTTTTTCCTAACCTAGACTAGGAATTGCTGGGTGGCCCAAACAGTTCCGTGACTGATTACTAGCCAAAAGGTTGGAAGTTTGATCCCCATCTAGGGGTACCTCTGAAGACAACAGGCCTGGCAATCAGCTTCTGAAATGCTACCACCTGGGAAACCCGCGGTGCACAGTTCTACTCTGCACTCCATAGCAGCCCAGGACAATTTACTAGACCATCCTCTGCCAAGAATGATGAGTCGATAACAAATAAGGAAAACTGAAAAATAGTTGACACATTGAATTTTAAATAGATGATGGTCGTCCAGAAGAACAACCAATCTCTCTTGAAGAAACGTAGCCGGAAAGATCCTTAGAAGCAAGGTTAGCAAGGCTTCGGTTCATACTTTGGACATGTTACCAGGAGATACTGGTCCCTGGAGGAAGTCCTACTTGGCAAAAATAAAGCACAAGTGAAACAGAGCGAGCCCCTTTAATGAGCTGGATTGACACCAGGCTTGCAACAATAGCCTGAAGCTTAGCCATGACTTGGGGCCTGGTGCAGGACTGGCCAGTGGTTTGTTCGGTTGAACATAGGGTTGTGAGTGGGCATCAACTCAAGGGCACCGAAACCAACACGGAATTACAGTCACACCTCTGCCCTCATGGGGCTTATAGGATATGTAGAAAATGAGTATTGTGTAAATAACTATTCCAGGATATTCTAAAAACAGATGCCGTTACTTCCTAGAGATATTCAAGGAATCCTGTGATTCTCCATGAGTTTCATCAGGATTTGGAAAGTTGGCGTAGACACCAATGTGGATTTGAATTTTGTGATCCCAAAATAATCACTAGGGTTTTCTAGGCATAGTGTGTGGAATCCATTTGGAAGGGATGGAGTACACTGTGTATAAATATAAACCTGTAACTCAAGTGTTCACCTAGAACTTAAATACATGCTAAGTAACATGGGTGTTACGGCTTCCTGGTGGCACAGTGGGTAAAGTCACAGGCTACTAAGTGAAAGGCTGGTGGTTGGAAATCACCAGCTGCTTCCTGCGAGAAAGACGTGGCATCTGTTTCTGGCAGCGAACACCCTGGAAGCCCCACGCATAGGGCTGTTCTACCCTGTCCTCTAAATTCCCTGTGTATTGAAATGGACTTGGGGGAATGGGTTAGTAGGCTATTACAGTGAACCATGTTGAAATAAAGGCAAGCTGAGATGCATAGATTTAAATCATTTGCTACACATTTCTCACTATAAGACCATTACAAAATTATTAGCAGAAAGAATAGTCTAAAAATATGTGAAGTTTGTTGTTGTTGTTGTTGTTGTTTGGGGGGGGGGGGGTTTACTTGGTGTACCAAATAGAATTCTTGGGCCCTTGAAGAGGAAGCATTTCAAAGCGGATCTTTTGTTGTGGAATTCATTTTAAATTCTATATTTTGAGGCAACAGAAACATTCAAGGGCCTATCTAGTTTACCTAAACATTGCTTAGGTAAAACTTGAGACAAACAACACATCAAATTGCAATCCCTAGGAAAAATGTGTAGATTATCCATCGACTAGATAATAAACTGCTCATGAAAATAAGCAGCTTTAAAAACGAGAAACAGTGTTGCTGTTGAGTTTATTAGAGGCAACCACTTGCCTTTATTTCAGCATGATTCACTGTAATATCCTACTAACCCATTGCCCCAAGTCCATTCCAATTCACAGGGAATTTAGAGGACAGGGTAGAACTGCCCGATGCGTGGAGCTCAGCCACAAAATAATTATTCCAGAGTAGATAGGATCTTTAACAATGCATCATTGAATACATCAAAACATCCCTTATGATTCCATATCTTCATCTGACTAAAAATGTATGCAGAAGCGTGTAAGTTCATTCATTCATTCCCTTCATCTAAATACTCACTCACCCATTCAGGAATGCTTCAAAAAAGGACTGAGCACACACAATGTTCCAAATAGCCTTCCTTTTCTGTTACCATGGTATGATTTTCTCTTGACGTTGTCTTTGTTTTAACGTGGGGCTATAGTTTTCTTACATTATGGTATACCTAGGTAACAAAATATTTGGCATTTCTGCAAACTTCACATATCCCGTTCAATGACATTTTTTGGTCATGTCGTTCAACCATCACCAGGAATCATTCCCAAGATGACCCTGTCTTTCAGTGAGGATATCAGCAGACAGCGGCGGTGGGTTTTCCGCATCTTTGTACCAGCCAGAAGGCGCTCCGGTGGTGAGAGGGTTAAGCGCCCGGCTGCAGACGGAAAGGGTGGCAGTTGGAAGCCCACCAGCCGACTCTGCACGAGCAGGGCCTGGCCATCTGCTTCCATAAAGATTACAGCCAAGAAACCCCTCCGGAGCGGTTCGGCTGCCACATGAGGCTGCTGCGAGTCAAAAATGACTTGACAGCCCCTAGCAACGGCGTGCGAGCCTAGTGACGCGGCGATTAAGGCCTTCAGCTGCGCACGGAAAGGTCAGCGGTTCCAACCCGCCAGCTGCGCCTCTTAAAAAAGCCAGCCCTGGACTCCCCGTGAGCCCCGTTCCACGCCCCACTCAGTTCTAGCCCCTCCCACTGTCTCTAGGCAACGGTGGGTAGGGGTCCTCTGACCCCAGGGAGCCCCCAGTAGGGCTCTAGGTGATTTTTTTTTTATTCGAGTGGGGGGGCGATGTTATCGTCCAAGAAGCGAAGACCCAATTCTCACACCAGGGCCAGGCGTCCCTGCTGCCTCTCTGGAAGCCCAGTCACCCCGAGTCACCCCCTGAGTCACCCGAGGCCCGGTCTCCACCCTGCACCGGGCGCCAAGCCCCGAGGCCGGGGGCGCGCGAAGCGCAGCGTCCGGGGACACCGCCAGCGACTGCGGCACTCGGCGGGCGCCGAGGGGCCCCAAGAAGGGTTTTGGGGGGCGCTCCCGTCAGCCCCCTCCCCACGGCCAAGTTGGTGACCTAGTCTTCCGAGACGACCCCACGCCGGGCCCACCGGAGGTGGCGGGGCCCCTGGGGCCCCTTTAAGAAGGGTGGAGCCCCTCCCAGTCGCGGGCGGATGCGGGTGGGAGACGCCATTTCCCGATGCCCCCCGCGGGGTCTCGGGCCCAGGGCCGCGCCCTGGGACGTTGGGCGGGCCGTGCGCTGACGGGCAGTGGGGCTCGGCCAATGAGGGCCCGGGAGAGGCCACTTCCGTGCCTGCGCGACGCCGGGGCGGGGCGGGACTTAGGGCGTCTTCCTCGTGGTCGTCATCTTAAGTCTTCTCCGGACCCCGCCTCAGGCGGCCAGAGCACCCCCGAGTGCCGTCGTCGAAGGGACAAGACCCGTGAACCCCAGCGAAGACCGTTGTCCCTACGGCAGCGAGCCCCGTCCGGGCCGGGCGGCGGTGCCCGATCGCCGAGAGCTCGCCGCTGGGCCGGCTCTGCCAAGATGGCGTGGGTGCGCTGAGGTAAATGCGGCCGCCTGCAGGCCTCCTGCCGCCCTCAGTTACAACCCCCCTGGGGATGCCGGCGCGCGGGGCCCTTTGTCCGCACGCGGAGGCGCAGGCTGGGGCTGCTAGACCCCCGGTGTGGCGAGGGGCGGCCTCCGAGGGGCAAGTCTCGCGAACCGAGGGGCTCGCCCACGCCCAAAGGCTGGCAAGTGCGCCGGGGCCGGGAGCGTTCGGGAAGCGGCTGCGTCCGCGGGCACCCTGTGGGGAGCCCCGCTGGAATGGCAAGCCGACGGCCCCTTCGGGGCGCTGGAAGCCCGCCGCGCCGTGAGCCTCCCCCCCGCCGCGGGAGCCCGCCGTGGTTAGAGGGCGCGGCGTTGGAGAGAAACCCTGGAAAGAACGGGACGGGGGCGCGGCGGGATGGCCTGTCACCCCGTCGTGACAGGCAGTGTTCTGTTGAGGATGTGGCCCTATTGTGAGGCCGGCGGACGTCGTGGGTGAGACCCTCACACCCACCCGTGCCCTGAGCAGGCCTTTCCCTTTTCCCCAAAGGCCGTTGGTTTCGCTGGCTCACTGCTAAGTGACTCTCTCCTGCTGGCTGAGCTGGGCGCGCGGCCCCATGTGTCCCTGCGTGGATTGACCACCTGCTGCCAGGAATGTTTGGAGAAAAGGGTAATTAGGGAGTCAGGAGTGGGGGGCGGTGCGCGGGGAGCGCAGTGTATAGACATCAGTGTCTCTGGGCCTGATTGTGTCTCCCTCCGCTAGTTGAGGTCCCTCCGTGGTACAAGCGCTCAGTTAAGAGGTCAACTTGAGAAACACCTTGGGAAGCCGGTCTGGCAGTCTGCTTCCTTAAAGATTACAGCCAAGAAAACCCTATAGGGCAGTTCTAGTCTGTCCTGTGGGAGCCCTGGTGGTGTGTGTGTAGTGGTTGTGTTGGCCCGGGATCTGCCTGTACACCAGTTTGAAACCACCAGCAGCTCTGTGGGAGAAGGACTGGACTTTCTAGTCCCAGAAAACCCTCGGGGTCACCATGAGTCAGCCTCGATGCCATGGCAGTGAGATTCCATCTCATGGGGCTGCCATGAACAACGTGTATTGTCGTTTTCTCCCGCTTGTCTGGGCGGGGAATTGCAGGCACTGACATAGCTTTACTTACAGAGGCTGAGGACTCTGCAATAGCTTTTGTTAAAGAGTTTGGGGACTGCTTTGTTTTAGATACTGTTGGTTTTCGTTCCTGTGACCTTTAAGTTCTGGATCAGTGCTGCCACTCTCTTGCTCAGTCTTTCCCTCTGGATTTATATCATGCTAGTCACCCGTGGTTGCACAATTCCTGAATAGTTGCTTGCTCACAGGTGGATGTGGTGGTACCCACTCTGCCAAGTGTCAGTTGTGTGAATGATTTTAAGATTGAGTCCAAACTCGACCAGGCTCCTATCCTTGCTCACTAGTGTTTGGTGCACACAAATGCTAGTGGACGTACCCTATTTCTACCTTTCTTCCTCATTTACCCCCCTATTTTTAAAAAAATGTTTTTTTTATTTTGCTAATTGAATATCCATGACATTATGGTTTTTACATTGTGCCAACATTATCATAGTCCTGTCTCAAGTTACTTCACCACTGTTAACATATAACTCACTATCTCCCAAACCTCCTAAAAAATAATTGCCCTTGCTGTCTCCCACTCCTAGTAACAACTAATCTTTGATATGTATATTATATTTGCCAATTTCAGGTAAGTGAACAGCATACACTTAAATTGTGGTGCTGCATATACATACACATACATTTTTTAAAAATCAGCAGTTTGCCTCTTTATTTTAATCATATGGTTCATTGGCACAAACTACATTCACAGTGTTGCATAATTTTACCACTATTTCTGACATTTCCCTCACCCCCAAAATGTATTACGTAACAACATCCTAGTCTCCCTTGTCCTCAGCCCATAATATTCTATAATCTCCCTTTTATCTCTAAATTTGTGTACAAAGTATTTTGTGTAAGCAGGATCATGGGATATGTATCCTTTGTGCCTGGCTTATTTCATTTATCTTAGTGTTTTGAAGATTTCTCCATATCTTAACATGTCAGAAGCTCATTGTTTATAGGTTCATAATTTTTCATTATACAGATTACACTTTGTCAAACCTTTGACTAATTAAAAATTACTTTGCTGTGAATATTGGTGTACAAGTATCTGCGTGTCTGTCTTCAAGACTTTGGGGTATGTTTATCTAGGAGTTGTATCTATTCTGATAAATGGCAATCACATGCGCACACAGAACTACATAGTTTCCAGGGTTCTAACATCTGAGAAGCAGACTGCCAGTCCTTTTTTCAGGGCACTTCTGAGTGAATTCCAGTTACCAATCTTTTGGCTGGTACTCAAATCTTAAAGCCTTCCTAAAACCAAAGCCAAACCCACTGCTACTAAGTTGGTTCTGACTCACAGCTATTCTACAATGCATAGTAGAACTTCTCTGGGTTTTCTGAAGGTGTTTTGTTTTGTTTTTTAATAGAAGTAGACTTCCTCAACTTTCTGCTGCTGAGCAACTGATGGGTTTGCGGCGCCAGCTCTTTGGTTGGCAACCCAACACTTTACCAGGGCTCCTGTTACAGTCATCCTCCGAATATAACGTGATACCTCGTTGGTTTTCTTTTTCCTAATGACTACTGTGGGAGTCCTGGTGGCATGGTGGTTACCCATTGGACTACTAACCTCAAGGTCAGCTGTTGGAAACCACCAGCCAGCTCTATGGGAGAAAGATAGAGCTTTCTACTTCCCTAAAGAGTTAGTCTCAGAAATTCAAGGGGGCAGTTCTACCTTGTCCTATGGGGTCTCTGAGTCAGAATTGACTGGATGGCAGTGAGTGAGAAAGACTCATGCTGTTGAACGTCTTTTCATTTGTTTAATGGCTATTTGTGTAGTTCTGGAGAACTGTATCCTTTGTTCAGATTTTTAATTGGATTGTCCCTTTGTCCGGTTGTAAAAGTTCTTTATGTCCTCTGGATACTCACTTAAAATGCAGTTTTCAAATACCTTCTCCCATTCTGTAGATTATTTTTTCACTTTGGTAATGTATCTCAATGCATAAAGGGTATTCGATATTTTATGAAGTCTAGTTTGTTTTTACTATTGTTTCCTATACTGCTGGTGTGTTGTCTAAGGACACTACCAAATACAATACACTGAAGATTTATTCATACATTTTATAATTTTAGCTCTTTATTTTTAGATTACAAAATAAGAGCTAAAAGTATAAAATGTAGAGGTAAATCTTCAAAGTCCTGTATTTGGTAAAATATTCTTAAGACAAGAGTGATAACAGGAGCCCTGGTGTGGTATATTGGTTATGAATTGGGCTGCTAACTGCAAAGTCAGCAGTTGGAAACTGCCTTGGGAGAAGGATGGAGCTTTCTACTCCCTTAACGAGTAAGTCATCTGGATGCTCTTGGCATCTTAACAAGATTAAGCCTTCCAGTCCATGAGAGTGGGCTCACTGCCTTCTGGGCAATTCCAACTCAAAGCTATCCTATACCCTAAAGGGTGCCCGAGACTAGATAAGGGAGCAGAAAAACTCATATTTCTCTCTCAAAGCAGCTGGCGGAATATAACTCTTAATTTCTTTTAAAGCAAGCTGTCCTTGGATTATGAGCAAGTTTCAGCCTTAAATCTGTCTTTACATAAAATTTGTAGTAGAACATATATGTCATAAAATGCTCATTTATTATTTATGTAGTTCATGTGACACATAGGAAACAACATGCTGGGGGTTGTGCGGTTACATGTTATATGCCTAAAATGTGAATATGTTGTGTGAATGCTTCAGACTGGGTATGAGGATGCTATGGGGTACTTTCCTGGCTCTTAAGCCCTTTCTAAAGAGGATGGGGGTGGGTGAAGAGTGTGGCTGCTTGTGTGTGTAATGAATATGGGATTTTATGCAAAATAACTGAGGGAATCAGCTGCATTCTCCTCTCCTGTGGGTTGGTGCTGTTTTGAGCCCTGTTCTCTCCAACATCCTTCCCTTCCCCATTTTCTGTGTTAGAGTGGCAGCCAGGTACAACTTAATGGACTGTTTGCCTGTGAGGTTAATGGGCATGGTTTGGCATAGGTTAAAATTGCACACATGGCGTAACCAGCCAAACCAAACCCGTTGTCATCGAGGCGTTTGCAACTCAGGAGTTTTTGTGAGACTATACATTTTTATAGGAGCAGAAAGTAAACCGTTCCACTGTTCTCCTGAAGAAATGGCAAGTGGATTTGAACTGCTAACCTTCTGGTTCACTTCCTGAGATTTAACCCACTGTGCCACCAGGAGAGTTGATGAAAAACCTGTTACCAACCATTAGATGATTCTAACTCTAGAGACCATGTATACATAGGGTTTCCAAGCTTTGGATCTTTATGAAAGCAGACCATGAAACAAAGTGTGGGTTTTAACTACCAGCCTTGTGGTTAATAGTCTAGTGCTTAGCCACGGTGCCACCAAGGCACCTTGGAGGAGGAGGCTCATCCCTGTTTGTACAAACCACCTTCCTCTGCTCCAGTCTGGCCAAGGGCATGGTAGCTGTCCATAAAAAGAAGACGCTGAACACTCCTGATCCTTGGAGGGCTCCGCTCTCAGCACCAATCTGATTGGCTCCAGTTTTTGATAGCTCTACCCCAGATGGAGAAGGGGGGTTAAGGATGTTCAAAGGGATCGTCATGAGCTTTGGGAAAAGGAGGATTGAGTCGGGAATAATGGGGAAGGTGAAATGTAACAGACTGGGAATAATGTTGAATTCAAGGATGTGCCAAGGCTTAGAGTTCCAGGAACCAAAGGTTGATGTCAGGGCGCTATCTGGGTCTCTGTTCTCAGGTACCCACACCTTCCTGCCACTGAGTTTGAAAAGTTTCTCTCCAGTGAAGATGACTTAAAATGACTATAAATGGCTTTATTCATACCCTCACCCCATTCCTGCTCCATGCCCTCTATGTTCCAATAATCTGCAGTTCCCAGGAGGCCTGTGGGTAT